GAAGAAGGCATTAAGTTGAGCTGAGCACGTACGTCCCTAAAGGAGAAGAAGGGGCTAGGCCTCTGCCTGGCTCAGAGGCCAGCAAAAGGATAAAGACTAATACCAAAGTAGTCGTCGGACTAACGGGCAGCCACATCAACGCCCCAATCACGATTTCTCGATTAGCTAACTAACTAGTATAGGGGAAGAAAATAGGCTACCGCAGCGTTGCCAAGTGCTCACATGTTGCAATTGGTAGTTCCGTTTTCTTCGTCTACCTTACGATCATTGTTACGAATTTTGCATTTTGATAACTTAACTAGAAACGAAACTCTGAACGCTCATCAAGTGATTTTAAGATACCGTGGTTTCTAAATACGACTCGAGAAGTGGACCCAAATTATCGTTTAACAAGATTGACTGGCAGTCTATTCACAACTAAGCATCAACAGCATGATAATTATGTTACCCCATTGAAATGCTGCCCATTTCTCAACATCAAAGTTTAAAAGTTTCATTACAGATCAGAGATTCTGCTTGCCTTCATGGCAGCTGGCCACACATATTCCATTAAATTGGGCATTTCGACATTGCACGCACTGATTGGGTGAGGAACCGGAGCAACCGCCCCTACATTCAGGGTGGCAGGGAGCGCAAACACGCGCCATACTCACGCTGGCGCTCTGGGACTGATGCGAGGCCAACCATTCACCAAGAGGCGCCTGCAGCTCGATTGGAACATGAGTCAGCGATATGTCTCCACTTATTTCCAATTTGGGATCTGACATCTTCCCTTTTTGGCCTCCAATAAGGTGCAAGAACGTATTGGTGGGGCAAGGCTAAAGAGGATTGTTGGATTCTATTTTTGAATGGAACATATTTCTGTGGCCTTAAGTAATGGTGTAATTTTGGTACTATTTGCCACTGAACGACACCAAAACTGAGTTATCACTAGCTCTTTCATAATTACTAACCTGGTAAGGCGTAAGGCATTTTAGTTTTGGCCCGTGCTCCATATTCTTTACTGTTGCTGCAACAACCTGAATGCATTGCGAGCAGCCCTTGTGTCCAAACCAGTCTCCAGACCCTGTGCACACTGCACTCCAATTGCTCGATTCAGTGCTGTCTAAAAGACCGCGTGGATGTGATGTGCAAACAGCTGCACATTCTTGACAGATATTATCCTCGTCAGGAAACTTTCCTAGAGGACACTGAGCACGACAAAAGTTCCCATCCTTGAGAAACACACAAAGTAGGCTGTAAGCAATTGAAGTGGGTATCCGTCTTAAAATGCAAAAATAGTAAGCTCATTAAACAAAAGGCTTAATTAAAACTCTTTTAAGATCACAGATTTGCCAACACCAGCTACCAATTTAACTTGGAGACATTGGTGAAATGAGTCGGCAACACACAACTCACCTTGACGTGTGCGCAGCCATAGTTGCAATGGTTGGCATGGGGCCCAAAACATGCTCCAGGCACAGAACCACACTCTTTGTGACACTTTGAACACGACTTTATTTTCAGTGTTATATTTGAGTCAATTGTTTTACTAATCATCACAGGGTAGTAACCACCCTCAGCCAAGGAACAATTAAGTACGCATCGACTAGTTTCACCGCGACCTTGAATGAGCCAGTGAGCACACGCGCGACAGTTTTCCGGTCCAGGACCCCAACATCCTTGAGAGAGCTCGCAGACGCTTGCATCGCATTGAAGTCCCTCGGAAACTAGATAAGAAGAAAGCAAACTGTAATATGTGAATTTAAGCTGCAAAGCAAAAGCAATATTTGAGTTGCAGGACAAATGTTAATACTTCTGCAAAAGAAGGTAAATTTATATGTTACCTTTTTGGAGTACCGTAAAAGCCTTGTAGGGAAACAAAATCACTTCAGACACAATCACATTAAATGCCTTGTGACCATGGTTAATCGCTACTTGCTAAATGAGTTAAGTAGATTGTTCGGAGAAACAGCATCAATCCACAATTTATATGCCGAATTACTATTTTTCCTTTACCTTGGCTACTTACGCCACTAAAAAGTGTTGAGGTCGAATCTGTGTCATAGACTCAAAATCAGTTTTGGAATCTTATTGTTAGAGTGTTCGCTGAAGCTCACCACAATCCTTGGCGGCGCGATGTGGAATGACAACGGGAAAGGGTACCGACGTGTTTGCGGTGGAAGATTTTGGTGTCCACATAAGAGTTCGCCAATTTATGGTATCAACGAGGCATAGTCTTGGATTTTGAACGATTTGAATGGTCCCTCTTTGCGCACCGACAAAAATCAGCGAAGCAAGACCGAGATATTCCAGATAGTTATTGTGGACTATATTTAACGGGGAGTTATAGCCCGGTGGCACCTCTAAATATACAGTGAAGTTCATTTATTGGTTTTTATATGTCACAGTTTTGAGAAAAAAATTATAAAATAAAGTTGAAATCAAGGTAGTTGGGAGAATGAAGTTATTCTTACTAGTATGAACCCACCTCCTCCGATGCGTCGCAACTTTGAGAGAAAAGTGAGATTCCTTAACCACGGTGCGGCATTGTCCGTTCCAATATAGAGGATACCAGTAATTTCGAAGAGACTTCCAAGACCACTCTGTAGGTCCTCAAATGTCACTGACTCCTCCTCTTTTGTGAGATTGTGGAAAGCATCACTGAAGATATGTAAAAAGTCAAAAGTGCTTCAACGTATTTCAGGGCAATGCTGGTCCCTCCTAAGGCAATGATAACGAGGTGCAGACTGAAGTACGTTCTCCCATACTACTTGTAATAAACATAATTTAGCAATAATTAATTACACAGACGTGAAAGCGCTGATAAAAAGGTGAATTAAAAATGCTCATAAACTGATAGCTCACCCTTCAAACGACTGCTTTTTGAGGATGATGTTGCCCTCCCAGAAGGTACAGTTCACCATTTTCCTCAAGAAGCTCTTGTGAAGAAAGTCAACCGAAGGTAGCTGGAGCTGCTTGGCTGTACACGCTTTAAAATTAAAGGAAGGTAATAAACCGAATTGACAAGCATTAAAATGTGTTAGAGGTATGATGA